TGAGTGTCTCAAGCTTCCAACTCGCAGGCGCCGCCACACCAAAACACGATGGCAGTGAAGGCCGGATCGTGCCTGCAGCCCACAGCTGCCAGCTCCTAATGTCACTTTCTGACTTTACAGAAAACCCTCCGAAGTCACACCAAAACACCATGGCAGCGAAGGCCGGATCATGCCTGCAGCCCACAGCTGCCAGTGCCTATAGTGACTCTCTATCCGCACACCAAAACGCCATGGCATGCGAGACGGCTAGTGCATGGGCGACGTTTTGCGGCAGCCATTGAACAACGTGGCCGGCCCATGCAGCGCCCCCCCCTTGCTGAGGGCTGGGGTCGGCGGATATACAGACACGATATACACATACACATACTGTATACACATAACATATACACGCGCGTATCATAGATGATGTGGGTACGCAATGTTGACCCTCTAGGTCCAGTGGGTGGGACCATAATGTGTATCCTTTCACCTCCCAGGACCATCGTGTCGTACTGCGGGCTTTCAGGGGCAACGGCTGCGCAGAATCAGTTGTTGATTCTCCTCGTGTGGCGACCTCGGTGAATCCGCTGTTGCTGAAGTCCGAGTTGGGCAATTGAAAGGACAAACTGCTGGTTTCGTAATGTTTGGTAAAGTTTGGCCTCCATGATATGATTACCATACATGTTTTCATGTGTTTTTGTGGCTGCAAAATTCATTGTCTAGTAGATTTGGAGAGTTTATAGACTACCAGATCTCTTGCTAACCTTGCCTGCTCCCGTCTCCCGGCGATTTGCACAATCCAAGGTCTTATGAAAAATCAGCAGGAGGCTTTGAGTTTGGCCCCCGTGATATTGGCTTTCTGCAGAACATAGGTGCGGTTGTTGCCAGTGGGGATTTGTCAAACACACGGCCATGGGTTTTATCCTCCCTTGAAACCAATGTTGACTGCAGGTGCTGTGGGCCTTGTGAGTACCCAGCTTTTCCTGTACCCGAAGCTGACCAAGAAGTTTGGCCCCGTGGCAGGAGAGGTCCAACATTGTAGTGCTGGGGTGGGTACAGGTTCTTGTTTTTCTGCGTTAGACTTTTTTTTTGGAAACCCAGGAACCCAATGGCTTGAATGATCCTCGTTGGTTATATATCTAAGAATCTAAGTGCACACACACACACACCCGCTGGATTGGTCACACTTCACACATTTCATACCTGACCTGCTGACCTCTTTGACTGCGAGTCACAACTTCCCTGAGATGAGGTTTTCTGAATGTTTTTCTCTTGGGTTTTTTCATGGCTCATCTCTCCTATGGATTCTTTCCCGTCTATGGCACCTTGGACTCCGCAGTCGACCGCTGGTATGGGCGACGGGTATGGGCGATTCAAAATTTAGGGATATGGGTTCTGGAAACAAGGTATCCTAAAACCCATGGGCGATCATCACCAATCATCAATTTTCTCATTAAATCGCAAATTTGTGGTATACATCATTTCCGGTCAAACCCATATGGAAGTATGCAATCCAGGAATATGACGTGTCATTGGAAGTCAACTTGAAACCATTCAGTCTCCAAGGTCAGATGTTTGATCACAGCACAAACAACTAGCCCGTGTATTGGATGCCCCTCATTTCACTCTGATGATTTGCCTGGACTACTGGTGATCGACTGTGCTTGTGTCACCTTAGAGACCGTGTGGCCAAGATCCACAGACACTTCCGCAGTGCCTTGAACACAATTTTTCACATATTTTCAAAGATTGATAGATCTTGGGGTCCATCCGCACGTACATTGCCTGTCCGCTTGAAACTGTGGGTTGAATTGTTCCTAGCAATCGAATGCATCCGGTCAATTGAACTTGGATTCCTTTGGCCCAAGGCGACCTATTCTTTTGCACAGAATTCTTACCGATGCGTCACAAAAACATGGCGTAGTCGCAGCGCATTGCTTCCCAGGTCTCTTCTACGATAAGGACAAGTACGGTTCCTTGGCAGACGCAAATGAAATGTCTAGAAGGAGATGGGTCCTTTGAGGCAATTTCCCCCAAACTATGGACTTTCCAGGTATGAATCATACTAACCATTACTAACCCTTACTATCAGTCCATATCTTTGGTGATTTCGCCTCCAGGCATGTGGAGGTTCGTGCCATTGGGCTGCATGCAGTTTATCTATACGGCTTCCACGTTCATGATGTTCCCCACAGCCTTTGCCTTCATCAACCGCGCCTTGGATGCCTTGGGTAGCAGCGCAACCCTCATGATGGGGGCAGTCAGAGGATACTGTATGTCTTTTTACATAGGAAAGTGATGGAAAGAGAGGTGTTTGTTTTTTTTGCTTCAGTTTGTTGCCCAGGAAAAGATTAGCAAGCGAGCAGTGTTCAAAACCTGCGGTTGATTATAGGGGGGTATATTAGCCAATAAGGAATGATCACAATCATACAGTGGCATTGTGCTCCAGTGGCCCCACCATGTCGCTTCGTCCCTGGCACCCACGTTAAGGTGCTGGTGAGGGCTTGGACCGAGGAGCAGTGAAGCCTGGCTGCGAGGTTAGTATCCCTTGATCCGGACCCCGGTTGTGCCTCAGACTTGCTGACCAGAAATTAGTTGGTTGTACACGTTTATACCCCACACATTCAATATGATACCTGAAAATGACAATTTCATGCGATTTCCAACAATTCCAATAATAGGAAGCCTTCTTGCGCACTCTGTTTTCGGGGTTGCTTGTCAAGTATGTTAAATTTACAGGGTATAAGCTGACTGACAAGCAGTTTCCTGGGTCGTGGTATCTCACTTTTCCGATCAGTGGTGGATTGAGACGAATCAGGAACCGGGGTGCGGGGGGGAGAGGTCGCTGCTATCGCCGGAAATGTTGGACATGGTACCCGTTTTGTTGGTTGCATGGATCAAACTACGGATGAACAAAATACATTATATATATCTAGCGACACACTGAAACTTAGAATGCGATTTTGGAAACGGCACGCTGCAAAAAAAACCCTGCACAATGCCAAAAAGTGGGGTGCTGCACTTTTTTTGCCCCGTTTTTTCAGTCGAGGCATCTTAGTAATGGAGATCTTAGAATGCGTGCCCACCGAATTGTTTATCATATAAGTCCTTCTATCATGGTTTTGAGTGGGAATTGTCAGGTCGCCGCGTTCTAGTAATGTAGACTTAGAATGCCGGCATCTATCTTGTGATTTTCACCAACAACGGATGTTTTTTTTCAAGTTTTACCTGCATTTTGGACACATTTTGCATTTTTTTGGCATGTTGGTTCTTAGTCAGGTTTCATCGATCTATGGACATATGACCACATCTAAGTTTGATCAGAAGATTTTACTTCCATCATGGTTTTGGTATGTTTTGACTGGGTATTTTCAGGGGGATGCGTTCTAGCAATGTAGACTTAGAATGCCGGCATTGATTTTGTGATCTTGATGAAGGATGCCATTTTTGTGTTTCTTACCCAGCATTTCTGACAGTTTACAAACATTTTTGGGCCCATCGCCAAATATTTGAATGTATTTTCCAAAGCTTGTACATATATATATATATATATAATATACGGTAACTATATTTAAACATACGGATTTTCAAATATACGAACTGGTATTTAAGACTACAGCCGGGAAGGTTTTCCGTGGCTCCCCTGACCACTTGAAAATAAATGGGCTAACGCCCTGGTGCCGCCGACCCCCTTTCAAGGGTGGAGGAAGGAACGCGCGCATATATATTAATACTATATATTTATTTATTTATTTCAGGGTAAAGCAGGTATATCCCTGATGAAATTACTTCGTCCCATTATAAAAAAGAGTTCCACACTGTAGCCCAGGGGCTGCCTTTCTCCTATCAGCTGTGTTGGTTATCTCTAATCATATCTGGCATTCAAAATAGAGATACTTCGTGACTTTTTGATACTTTTTGCAGGTATCACACTTTCAGCCATAACAGCCACTGTATGATTCATCTTGATACAGAACAGAGTAGAAACCCATTGGCTCCGCTCCGGGACACCTGGAGAGCGACTGGGATGGCAATATTTTCACAGTAGAAAACCAGCTGTGGTTAAAACAGATGGGTAAACCCCCTCATTTATTCGTTTATACCACCCAGAAATGTGGGTTTCGAAGCCCAATAGTTCGAAAGCTGCTGCGGAGGGCTTAAAGGGTGCCCAAAACGTGCCACGTAGCAGTTTCGAAGCCCAATAGAAACAGCTTGTGAGGCCTAGGGAAGGACCATGGCAAAGCAGGCGCGGAGCCTTCGAAAGGTGATGCGGAGGGTTTTAATGTTGAGGCTTTTAAAGGGTGCCCAAAACGTGCCACGTAGCAGTTTCGAAGCCCAATAGAAACAGCTTGTGAGGCCTAGGAAAGGACCATGGCAAAGCAGGCACGGAGCCTTCGTCCAAAACGTGCCACGTAGCAGTTTCGAAGCCCAATAGAAACAGCTTGTGAGGCCTAGCTTGTGAGGCCTAGGGAAGGACCATGGCAAAGCAGGCGCGGAGCCTTCGATAGCATGGCAAAGCAGGCGCGGAGCCTTCGAAACCTGCTGCGGAGGGTTTTAAGCTTTTGAAGCTTTTAAAGGGTGCCCAAAACGTGCCACGTAGCAGTTTCGAGGGCCAATAGAAACAGCTTGTGACGCCTAGGAAAGGACGATGGCAAAGCAGACAAAGCAGGAGCCGAGCCTTCGATCCCAACGTGCCACGTAGCAGTTTCGAATACAAAACCTCTAGGCTTTTAAAGGGTGCCCAAAACGTGCCCAAAACGTGCCACGTCCCAATAGAAACAGCTTGTGAGGCCTAGGGAGGTACCATGGCAAAGCAGGCGGGACGCCTTCGAAAGCTGCTGCGGAGGGTTTTGAGGTTCAAATCATAGGCCTTCGTTTTGAGGGTTTTAAGGGGTACCCAAAACGTGCCACGTAGCAGTTTCGAAGCCCAACAGAAACAGCTTGGGGCCTAGGGAGGTACCATGGCAAAGCAGGCGGGACGCCTTCGAAAGCTGCTGCGGAAGGTTTTGAAGTTATAAGGCCTTCGAAAGCTGCTGCGGAGGTTTTGAGGGTTTTAAGGGGTGCCCAAAAAGTGCCACGTAGCAGTTTCGAAGCCCAACAGAAACAGCTTGGGGCCTAGGGAGGTACCATGGCAAAGCAGGCGGGACGCCTTCGAAAGCTGCTGCGGAGGGTTTTGAAGTTATAAGGCCTTCGAAAGCTGCTGCGGAGGTTTTGAGGCTTTTAAGGGGTGCCCAAAACGTGCCACGTAGCAGCTTCCGAAGCCCAATAGGAACAGCTTGTGGGGCCTAAGGAGGGGTCATGGCAAAGCAGGCGGGACGCCTTCGAAAGCTGCTGCGGAGGTTTTGAAGGCTTTAAGGGGTGCCCAAAACGCGTACGTGCCACGTAGCAGTTTCGGAGCCCAATAGAAACAGCTTGTGGGGCCTAGGGAGGTACCATGGCAAAGCAGGCGGGACGCCTTCGAAAGCTGCTGCGGAGGGTTTTGCGTTTCTAAGGCCTTCGAAAGCTGCTGCGGAGGTTTTGAGGCTTTTAAGGGGTGCCCAAAATGTGCAACGTAGCAGTTTCCAAGCCCAATAGAAACAGCTTGTGGGGCCTAGGGAGGGGCCGCCTTTGAAAGCTCCTGCGGAGGGTTTTGAGGTTCTAAAGCCTTCGAAAGCTGCTGTGGAAGTTTTGAAGTTTTAAGGGGTGCCCAAAACGTGCCACGTAGAAGTTTCGAATGCCACGTAGCAGTTTCGAAGCCCAATAGAAACAGCTTGTGGGGCCTAGGGAGGTACCATGGCAAAGCAGGCGGGACGCCTTCGAAAGCTGCTGCAGAGGGTTTTGAGGGTTTTAAGGGGTGCCCAAAACGTGCCACGTAGCAGTTTCGAAGCGCAATAGAAACAGCTTGTGGGGCCTAGGGAGGTACCATGGCAAAGCAGGCGGGACGCCTTCGAAAGCTGCTGCGGAGGGTTTTGAGGTTTTAAGGCATTCGAAAGCTGCTGCGAAGGTTTTGAGGGTTTAAAGGCGTGCCCAAAACGTACCACGTAGCAGTTTCGAAGAAACAGCTTGTGGGGCCTAGGGAGGTACCATGGTAAAGCAGGCGGGACGCCTTCGAAAGCTGCTGCGGAGGGTTTTGAAGTTAAGGCCTTCGAAAGCTGCTGCGGAGGTTTTGAGGCTTTTAAGGGGTGCCATGGGGTGCCCAAAATGTGTCACGTAGCAATTTCGAAGCCCAATAGAAACAGCTTGTGGGGCCTAGGGAGGTACCATGGCAAAGCAGGCGGGACGCCTTCGAAAGCTGCTGCGGAGGGTTTTGAAGTTATAAGGCCTTCGAAAGCTGCTGCGGAGGTTTTGAGGGTTTTAAGGGGTGCCCAAAAAGTGCCACGTAGCAGTTTCGAAGCCCAACAGAAACAGCTTGGGGCCTAGGGAGGTACCATGGCAAAGCAGGCGGGACGCCTTCGAAAGCTGCTGCGGAGGGTTTTGAAGTTATAAGGCCTTCGAAAGCTGCTGCGGAGGTTTTGAGGCTTTTAAGGGGTGCCCAAAACGTGCCACGTAGCAGCTTCCGAAGCCCAATAGGAACAGCTTGTGGGGCCTAAGGAGGTGTCATGGCAAAGCAGGCGGGACGCCTTCGAAAGCTGCTGCGGAGGTTTTGAAGGCTTTAAGGGGTGCCCAAAACGTGCCACGTAGCAGTTTCGAAGCCCAACAGAAACAGTTTGTGGGGCCTAGGGAGGCGGGACGCCTTCGAAAGCTTCTGCGGAGAGTTTTGAGGTTCTAAGGCTTTCGAAAGCTGCTGCGGAGGTTTTGAGGGTTTTAAGGGGTGCCCAAAACGTGCCACGTAGCAGTTTCGAAGCCCAATAGAAACAGCTTGTGTGGCCTAGGGAGGTACCATGGCAAAGCAGGCGGGACGCCTTCGAAAGCTGCTGCGGAGGGTTTTGAGGTTCCAAGGCCTTCGAAAGCTGCTGCGGAGGGTTTTGAAGTTATAAGGCCTTCGAAAGTTGCTGCGGAGGTTTTGAAGCTTTTAAGGGGTGCCCAAAACGTGCCACGTAGCAGTTTCGAAGCCCAATAGAAACAGCTTGTGGGGCCTAGGGAGGTACCATGGTAAAGCAGGCGGGACGCCTTCGAAAGCTGCTGCGGAGGGTTTTGAGGTTCTAAGGCCTTTGAAAGCTGCTGCGGAGGTTTTGAGGGTTTTAAGGGGTGCCCAAAAGGTGCCACGTAGCAGTTTCGAAGCGCAATAGAAACAGCTTGTGGGGCCTAGGGAGGTACCATGGCAAAGCAGGCACGGAGTGGTGCCGTATAGAGGAGCCTGGAAAGGTTCCGAGCCTTCGAAGCCAAAGCAGGCACAGGGCCATGCCGCGCACCTACGGTGATCCTGGGCGCCGCCCCGCCTAGGCCAAGGCTAGGCAGGGGTCGGCGGATATAGGTTTTATAGAAGCTCGCGCAACTGTAACTACGTCATTACCTTCGCCGCCGAGGCTCCGTGACGATCTCAGGTGCAAACGTCGGCGGGTCTTGTCACACTCCCGATAGACCAAAAAAAAAGGCGTCAAA